ATTCCATTCCAGCGTCATAATTAAAGTTATCAGCTGAAATTTATTATGATTGATATATTTAAGTGATTGATCTGACCCGATCCTGTTAATTAATTTGCGTCTCGTAACTACCGGATTTGTCGCTCGATATAAAGCGATTAGTAAATAACTCTTAGATCGTTTATTAAATACCATAAATAAAAATGCATATTTAATAAAATATTCATGCTCACAATCAATATCATTAATATGTTATTAATAAATTATTTAAACAACCCTATTTTTTTTAAAGAAATCAAAATATTTGCATACACTTTTAATTGTCCCTGCATAGTATCAGCATTATATTTGATGATCATTAATTTGTTATCTTTAGCGTAAACTTAGCGATTTCCTAAAAGTTATAAAAGGGCATTAAAGAATACCATCCTCCGCTGTCAATAAATCGTATTTACTCTGCTATATTAATTAAAAATAATTCTAATATTGCCCTTTGTCAAACACGTACAATGTCTCTTCCAGTAACCCAAATATCTATAGTTAATTTAGATCAAGATAATCCTTACCATGATTTGCGTAATGATGATCTTTTGAACCACCAGTTCCGAATAAATGTTAACGCTAACCATCCGCGTGCACCTACTGTTTTTCCAGAAAATCACCCTCAATCAACTTCCGACTTAACTTCTTTTCCGCCATGGCAACCTTCCCTTCCTTTACTTTCTCTCAATCATCGATTTCAAACCGAAATTTTATATATGTTTCCGTGTGTTCCTTGTTCGCATTGTTCAATTCTTATGTTTCCTACTCAAGCAAAATGGGTCTCGCGCGATAACAGTATGGAATACGACCTTTGTCGTGCTTTTCCGCATTTGTCACTTACTGAACATCCTAATAAGGAAGATTATATCGCTGTGTGTAGCTCATGTATATCTATCGCTAAACGTCACAGCGCTCCAACGCTTGCTCCAATTCCAGATGCTCTAGTAAATGTTCCAATGTTTTATCGCCGTTGGCTTTCTCCCATTCATTTAAGTTGTTCTCTCGGTCGTGCTGAAAATGCGAATCGTTTTACACACTATCGCCATCTTACCGGTGCTTTTGGTCTCTCAAAAAATATTCGTGCGTTACAAATTTACTCTGGAATGTTGGGTGCAATCTTAGATTCTACACCTGATAACAATTGGTTTCATCCATCTTTGCTACCTGCGGCTAACTGGCTGAAAATCAATAATAGATTCTTTAAACAATTTGATAGGATGTTTTCGTCCATAATTTTTACGCGTCCCCCGAACGTTTTTCCCACTGCCCAAGTTATTGACCGAGAAAATATATTACCTAATGGCACCCCATTACGACGTCCTCCCGATATAGTTGTACCACCGTATGATTTTGATCCGGAAATTCATAATGAAGATTTTCATTATAGTAGACTGTTGGCAGGTTTCTTAATAGATTCTAATAATATGGAGTTACCAATTCCATATCATGATCCCAATTTAGAGGCTATACTTTTTCCTGATCTCTTTCCAGATGGGCACGGCCATTGGGGAGAAATCTCTAGAGAGTTAGATAATCGTCGTAACCATATCGATACATATGCAAAATATATTAAACTTCGACTATTATGTCCAGATCCTCGATTCCGTCTCCATTGGTATTGGCCATATTGGTCCTATATTAATTTAGAAAAGCTACGAAATCATCAGAACAGGCTGCGTATTTTACGTCAACGGGATATGAATCGACTGCACCTTCCGACTGTTGCTGATTTGATTAATCAAAGTGTTTACAATGGTCGTCCAATTATTAATGAATCATTAACCACTACACTCCCTTCTTTTATTCGAACTGGTGATACATATTTTCGTCAACGCCAACATTCCGTAAATACAATGGTTCAAAGCTTTGGTCTACCTCAAATTTTCTATACTATGACCATGGCTGAAGGGCTTTGGCCACACTTGTTAAAGATTCTATCGTGTACTGATGACCATTGCATTATACCATCAAATCGCCCTCTGCACACTTATTTTCATTACCATCAGAGGCTAAATTCTGTTCGAAATTTGCTATGGAAAAATAAAAATCTATCTGAATGGGGTAAATGGCTTCATCATTTTGAGCGTGATGAATTTCAGAATCGCGGTAGTATACATACCCATGGCATAGCTTATCTCGATATGTCGATTCCAAATTTAATAAATCACAACGTTATTCGTGCTGACCTGCCTGATCCCCAAACGGAACCTGTTCTTTATGAACTGGTTCGTACTCATCAAATTCATCGGTGTTCTCCTAATAAATGTGGTGGACCATCTCTTCCCGGAGAACAATGCAGAAAAAAGTTCCCAGCACCACTATCAGATCATACTTATTATAATCCTACTTTATTGCATTATACTTATCGACGGACCAAGGAAGCGGATCGATGGGTTGTCCCCTATCACGCGCCTACTTTATTGTTGTGGCAAGGGCATTGTAATTTTCAATACGTCTCTTCTAAATCCTTCGCAAAGTATATGACCAAGTATATTACCAAACCGGAAAGTTCTGATCTATTTAAGCTAACTGAACATGACACCTACCGTTCTCATATCTTAGCCAGACGTCTTGGTGCGATGGAATTGATGATTCTTTTGATTGGATACTCTATTTGTCGTTCCACTATTGCTACAAATTATTTATCAACTACACTACCCAATATACGATCAAAATGTGTAAAGCCAATTCACTTATTAAACGGTGAAAATTCTAATCCATACTGGGCTGACGCTATTGACAAGTACTTTCTCAGGCCAATCGATTCGCACTTTGATAATATTATGTATCCGTATTATCATCAAAATTATAAAATAATACCAAATCGTCCAAATTTAAATATTAACTATTGGGTAGATCAGCAGGGTAAATTTGTAATTAAAAGAAAAAAGTCAATTCTGGTGCGATTTCAATTTTTTTCAGTAGAAGACGGTGAATCTTTTTTTTACCAACAACTTCTACTTAATTTACCTTGTAGAAATGAAAGTGAATTATTAGGTTCATATTCGAGCTATCGAGACCATTTTCGTTCGAGATTTTCCTGTGCAATTCGATCAAGTTGTACAAAACATTAATCAGAGTACGTCAGCGAGGTTTACTAGATTTTCTCATAATTACCAGTTGCAAATAGATAAAATAATACATAGTATGCAACGCGATATTGCGACCATTATACATAATCAACTTAATACTTTAATGTATTCTCCACCCTTGGTTTCTCGATATTCGTTACTAGAAACGCAAACTGATCAATATGCAGCATTCAATATATTAACTTCAGCATGGAAACGTGTAGGTGAACATGGTCATCCGTATTTTTTCTTAACTGGCTCGGCAGGAACAGGAAAATCATATTTAATAAATTTGATCATAAATCACCTCCTAGTGCATCGTAAAAAGTATTTATTGATGGCTCCAACAGGTGTGGCTGCCCAAAATATCAATGGTAAAACAATTCATTCGCAACTAAAAATACGCCCATCTAATGGTAATCATGTGAGTTTAGCCCTAAATGACCAGGAATATCGCCAACTTCTTCAAGAAACTGAAGTTATTATAATTGACGAAATATCTATGGTATCTGCTAGTTTACTGACATTTATTAGTAATCTCTTTGCTCGTTTGCATAATAATACTTTGCCATTTGGCAGAATCAAAGTCTTACTAATCGGTGATCTTGCACAACTGCCTCCTGTAAGTGGTGCCCAAGTATTTCGATCTCCCGTTTGGTCCGAATTTTTTCCTATATTTTTAACGACTCCTCGCAGACAAAATGAGGATATGATGTTTTATGGTGTGTTAAATGAAATTCGAACCGGAACTGTATCAACTAATACATTACAAGCAATTGACGATAAAATAAAAACACCATCATCACTTTCCCCTACTGATACTACGCACTTAGTTGGATTCCGTGCCATGGCAGACAATATAAATAAGTTAGCTTGTCTAACCTTACCTCGAGAACCAAATGATCCTGACCCCATCATTTCAACTGCTGTTGACTATATTAATGGTCAAGAATGGGATGCAGTAGATAATGATCGTAATATTCGCCAACATACAAATCTACCTGCAACTTTAATTTTGCAAAAAGGTGCTCGTGTCATGTATCTTGATAATGACTTATTTGAGAATGGTCTTTATAATGGATCTATTGGAATCGTCATCGAATTAATCAATGAAGACACCGTCAATGTCGTATTTCCTGCACCACTAAGAATGATTACTGCAACTGTAAAAAGAATAACTAAACGTTTTCTTTTAAATGGCTTACCAGCAAGCCGACATCAATTTCCCCTCCAAAATGCCTTTGCACTCACTGTACATAAAACACAAGGATTAACCATATCAAATATTTCCGTTGCTATAGATGAGCAAATGTTTGCATATGGTCAGACATATGTTGCACTTAGTAGAGCCCCATCTTGGAATTCACTGAATATTACTTCATTTGATCCAACTTATGTAAGAACTGACCCAGAAGTTATCACTGAATATGAGCGATTGACTTCTTTATATAATAATGGTTTAGGCAATTTTTTGCAACGCTTTTCTTAATCATATACATTCCTTACTTCTTATGTAATAATATTTAAATCGATAGAAGATAATTACCATTACCCATTCTCTCAACTCTCTTCCACAGCCATGTGCTTGTTCGAATTAGGTTGAGCGCTAAGTAGAGATAACCCAACAAGGCAAAAAATAACCAATAATTTAATGTCAACGTTAAAAGAACTACAATAAAAACCATCGCAGTTTTTTTTATATTCATGATTTTTTCGTCTCTGCTACCTAATTTTATCGTGTAAAATCGTAAGCTAATATTATCAGACGAAAAAAATACTTTAATAAATCATTTTGCAACAGAAAAAGCATTACTTTTTTTTTTACCTCACTTAATTTCCGCCAATAATATAAATATAAATCGTAATAATATCTTTAGATAAACGTTGAATTCGACAAAAATGAACTATAAAAAAAAAAAAGTTCATTGAGTTATAGCAATATTATTGTAATCCATACATCCAGAAAATTTATTCAAACTTTATCATTAATTTAATACTATTCAATTTAGTAACTAAATTCAAAATCGATATCGTAGAGTTCGACCCCGATTTCAATATGCTAAACCCATTTTTTCCATATAAAAAATAAACCGGTTCTAATCTTTAGATGTCAGATTTAAATAAATCCCGTGATCTAATACCCGATATTATACTCACTGACAAGTCAACTTAACCGATCTACTACAAAACTAAATCTGCCCGGGTATGAATAAATTAATAAGACAAGTATATACTATTTCAAATAATGCTTTGGTAGATAACGATATAAGAACAATTTCAAGACTACGTTAATCATATTTTACTATGTATCTACTTATGTACTACGATCTGAATTTGACAGGCGATCGCCAAGGTCATTAATTTATTATGTCCATTCATTCAAGATCCGTCAATATAAATCTAAATGCGTAAATATTTATCCAGTTTATAGATTAAGCTACCGATCCTATACTATGCAAATTTCTCACTATTTCCTATAATCTTTTAAGGACGAAACCACATTATACCAATACAATACAATACACCTACTCGTTCTAACTCCCTTTAGCAACTCATGCGCCTAGTTATATAATAACTTTTTTGTTAATTTTTTATTGTTATGTTTTAAATTTAAAAATTAAATATATTATTCTTTGTAATATATTAGTTATATAATATATTATATATAAATTTTTTAAATATAAAATTATAATAAAAAATATATAAAATTACTATGAACTTTGCAGCTTTGATGTTTTTTAATCTACATATTAAAATTAAATTCTGTAATTATATAGAGTATAAAAAAAATAAATTTTTTGCTCTAACTGGCAAGTTATAGATTTGTTATTTTTGCATATTTTAAAAATATAACTTTGCTAAAAATAAAATTTTACTAATTTTAAAGTAATAAATATATATAAAAGTATGCTTTGAACAACTTTATATAGAAGATAAAAGTGAGTTACTTTAAAAAAAAACAAGTTAGCTATATGCTAAAATTAAAGATCTAGTTTTTCTATATGTAATACTTATGTAACCTGCCTTCATCTTTTAAGTAAAGTTGTTTAGTATAAAATTTTATATTTAAAATTATTTTTGTTTATTTTTGCAAACATTTTATTAAATGCATAATATATTTAAAATTAGAAAAAACTTTTTTTTAAAGAAAATTTTTAAAAATAAAAATTTTTTCTACTATAACCTCATTTTGCACTTAGTAAAAGGTTTGCAAAAACAAACAAAACTATACTAGAAGTATAAAATATTATGCTAAACAACTTTACTTAAAAGACAAAGCCAAATTACATAAGTAAAAAAAAAGCTATATATAGAAAAACTAGAATTTTTAATATTAGCACATAACTAACTTGTTTTTTTATCAAGATAGCCTACTTTTATTTTCTAAATAAAGTTGTTTAGGGAATGCTTTATATATATCTATCACTTTAAAATTGGTAAAATTTTATTTTTAATAAAGTTATCTTTTTAAAATATACAAAGATAACAATGCTATAACTTGCAAGTTAGAGCAAAAACCTTTTCTTTTTATACTCTATATAATTGCAAAATTTAATTTTAAGTTAATATATAGATCAAAAAACATCAAAGCTGCAAAGTTCGAAGTAATTTTATATATTTTTTATTATAATTTCATATATAAAATATTTACATATAATATATATATGACAAATTGTATGACTGATATATAAATAATTAAATAATTAGACTATACAAATTTAATTACTTGGTTTTTATAACATAAAACTTTTAAATAGACCTAGCCGGCCAACTTTTTTTTTTAAATTCATATATAAAATTTTATATAATTTATATAAAAAATTTTTTTAAACCTACCCAGCTATTATAACATATTAAAATTTTTTTTTAAAGTTTTCAAATTTTGACCCATCCGTGTTATGAAAAGCAATCAATTAATTCTGCTTGAACTTATTTAAAATTATATTAAATTTTGTCAAATAAAGAATATGTATACATATTTATATAAATTTGTAAAATACAAGGATAAATGCTCATGTAGCTAAAGTCTTAGGGTCCTTACACGGTATTGTTAATCTCATTAAGAGTGTTAGGGTAAAGCATGTTACAAAAATGGAGCCAGAGAATTTAAATAGGTATCCCCCATAGTTGGGTGCAGGTACAGCAGCTAGTGTGGAACCTAGAGCAGACTACTTAAATAGGTAACCAAAAGT